ACGGAGGCGTGGCAGGGAGGGGTGACCAAGGCGGTGGTGCCAAAGGAGAGTCTGGTGCGACAGGGCTCGACACGAGCAAGGGGCTGCAAGCTGACCGGACGCGGACGCTGACGCAGCTACCTGAGGAGGCTCAGTAGTCAGTGTGTACAGACTCGACCCAAGCTGACGAGTGAACGTGGCCAGGTGACGGCCCATCCGTGTACACATGCAGATCGCCACACGCTGACCCCTAGTAGTGGTGGTAGTGACCATCGCATCCTAGAGGGCAGCGGTACTCACCAGGTTCATAGAGAACGAGGGGAGGTGAAGACCTGACAGTGAGCCGGACGGAACCGCAGGACACGGGAGAACAGTGGACGAACGGGCAAGAACTGTGCCCCCTGAGGGGTCAGTCAGTCTCACAGCAACAGGTGCAGGGAGTGGTGTGAGTGTGGTACTGTCGCGAAAGAAACAGCGGGAAGCACCTAAGTCAAGCGTTAAGGTGTGCAAGGCCTCAGCAGGCGCAGTACCAGAGAGAGCAGACTCATTAGAGCAGCAGCCTCTATACCTGGGTCGGGAGGCATACACAGGCAACAGTCACCCTTAGCACTAACAGTAAATGCATACATGGCAGCAAGGATAGCATCATAATCAAGAGAAAATATATACACACCTTGCCTAAGCAGCTCTGCCCAGCGGGGGAGCTCAGTCGCGTCGGGAAAATCTGCGCAAAAGGCATCGTCAAGACGGGAGAAGCAGCGGTACTGGATGTGAAGCTTCCCGCATGTCTGACCAGTGCGGACACCAGTGCGAATGACATACGGGCAGCGAACACTACCCCCAGACGCCCCATGCTAAGGAAACCACTCACGAAGCTGCTGGGGCGACGGGGTCTCGCTCGAACGTTGATGCTGCTGCCTCTGGCCATCGCCAGAATCTCCCTTCTGAATAGCTCCACCCCGACCGCCACCACTGCTTCCGCCACCACTCCCACTGCCGCCACCACCACCCCCACCGCCGCCACCACCGCCGCCACCAACGCCTACACTCCCACCTCCACTCCCACTGCCACCACCGCCACCTCCACCGCCTCCACCGCCCCCACCACCGCCTCCACCGCTGCCATCCCCACCACCCTGGCCTCCCTTGCCCCTACTACTGCGGCGCCTCCCACTAGGAGCAGACGCAGCCCCGACCTCCTCAGCACGAGGGAAGTCAACAGCAGCAGCAGAAGCGACAGAGGGGCAAGGGGGGAGGGGGAACACCCCTCAAAGAAGGGAGTGCGAGGAGTACCACGAGAAGCGCCTACAGCGTCTATGCTGGTCTCAGCTGCAAGGAGGTGCTTCTTGAGCAGGTTGACGGTGAGGTTTGTGGGGTCAAGGGCGAGAAGGAGGTTCCTGACTGCGCTGAGTAAGGGAGGCGGGTGACGATGAAGTAGAGCGTGATGTACATGGGAGGAGGGTTCTTGGCTAGAAACTCGGCGGGAAGGCGGCACGGTAGCGAGTGTCACTAGTGCAAAGGTGAGTGACGAGGTCGGCGACTGTGGCAAAGGCGGATAGCTCGAGGAACACGTAGGGCAGCATAAGGCGGCCTAGAGCAGCAGTGGCCGGAGAGGAGTATCGAGTGACTATAGCGTCGTACAGGGCTCTAGCAGTCTTGTGATGGCCGAAGTGAACGCGTTCGGCTAACGGCGGGTGGTTGCGAACAGCTAGGTGAGCAGCAGCATCATAGGTAAGCCACTGTGAGCGAGTCGCACTGTCAGCTGTGGCGGAAGGGGCGAGAGAGGCTCCAGACGTGAGGTCAAACAGCGAGATGCCGTCCCTAGAATCGCTCAGTAAGTACAACTGCAGGTCATCTAGCCACGCGTCGAACTCTATTGGACGACCCTCTGCATCGAACGAGAGTAGCAGAGAGTAGCCATCGCGAGCAAAGCAGTTGGGCGCGCTAGTAGCAGGGCAGCATGCAGGCAGGGCAAAACAGGGCGGCGGCCAGCAGGGCGGCGCGCAGACAGATCAGGGGAGGGCGGCGGCCAGCAGGGCGGCGCGCGGGCAAGGCAGGGCAGGGTGGTGGTCAGCAGGGCGGCGCTCGGGCAGGGCAGGGTAGGGCTATGGCCAGCAAGGCCGCGCGCGGGCAGGGCAGTGTAAGGTGCGTGTGACGAGCAGTGCAACAGCGCGGGGCAAGGCAGGGCAGCCGCGCGTGCAGAGCAGCAGCGCGGAGCAGGGCAGGTGCACGGGGCAGGGCTCACACGTGCAGGCAGGGCAGGGCAGCCGCACTTGCTGACACAACACGGCACAGGGAAATAGCAGTAGTGCAGCAGCAGCAGTAACGTAGGTAGCAGCGGCAGTGCAGCCACAGCAGTACAGGCGGCAGGAGGGCAGCAGGGACAGTGTACCGGCGAGGTGTAGGGCCAGTGCAGGTGCGCGGGCGGCAGGGCATGTGCGCACGGGCCTGGCGCGGGCTGTACGGACTGCGCGCGAGCCTGGCGCGGGCTATACGGACTGCGCGCGAGCCTGGCGTGAGCTGTACGGGCTGCACGCGGGCCTGGCGCGGGCTGTACGGGTTGCGCGCGGGCCTTGCGCGGGCTGTACGGGCTGCACGCGGGCGGCGCGCGGGCTGTATGGGCTGCGCGCGGGCGACGCGCGGGCTGTACGGGCTGCGCGCGGCAGGGCAGGGCAGCGGGAAGGCACGGGGAAGGGCAGGGCAGGACAAAAATTCGGGCAAGAACAACACTAAGTGGTGGGCCCCTAAAAAAAAAAACGGTCCTTAGGAAGGACCCGCTCTACACCATGTCGAGATTAGCTAAGGGAATGATTAGGTTGAGGAGAGAGGGTGGTACAAGAGAGTGTCGAGAAAACTAAATGTACCCCCTAAGGCTAGGCCCACTAAAGCCTAGGTGAATGATAAACATATGATTTGACATTGAACACATCGTTAGCAGTGCTGCTAGAATGGGTATGGGAAGGAGCTAAACTTGTGGGGAATGGCATCTGGTTTGGCAAGCACACTCACTATTAGCGAATTTATTGCTTTCACATTCGTTGTAACAACCGTTCTCAAGTATCACTTGTTTCCAAAACGTATTTCCATTACTTCTTTTGCTGTACAATCCCTTTTTAGCTTTTGTTTGGTCCCCCGTTGGGGGAGGGGTGCGCCTTACTCGGAGTTAGTGCAATACCGAGGCGACGCGCGCAAGGCCGACCAGCAAGCTGGCCATTGGCACCTGCCCCCGAAAGAAATTAATTTAATATCATGTGGACCGATGGTCCACGTATTAGATATTAAACTGATAAGAACAGATACTACACTTGATCTTAGCCAAAAGGCCGAGAAAGGTATGCCTTACAAACGCAAATTCGCCAAATTTATTTCCCTGAAACACAATTCAATTTGAGCCTTGTGGGGAGAGAATTGCTCCAAACCCTTGTTTGGTGATTCGACATTGCACACGTAGCCTCAAATTGCTCGCGTAGTCCTGAAATTGCACGATAATTGCTCGAGTGGTCTTGCCAGAAAATCCCCGCAGCTTTTTTTAACCCGGTACATTACCCTACAAGGGTATTTATTCCCAAAATGTTTGCGTTGCACGAGTCTTATTCCGCGTATGAGAAATAATAAAACCCATAGGGACCTGGACGCATTTTCGGGAGGGATCAACCCTAAACACGGGAAAGAGCAATGTTTTTAGGGTTGATGCCTCCCTGAGTCGCATCCCTTTCCGATTGGGTTTAGTTTTTTGGGTCATGTGTAGGGATATATATGTAAATGCGCGGTCATATAGAGCCATCGCGCGACCAATCACTCGCGGACAGATGGGTGCGCAATCATATATTGTTTCGCTCGGGCACACCCTATATGACCGAGCGTTTTTTGCGAGGCACAATGATATGACCGCGCATTTACGTCGCTTACAATTATGTGATCGCTCAATAATTCTAGCATTGGGAGATAAATACCCTAATTGGGTATTGTGCCTGGGAAAAAAAGTCAGTTGGAATTCCCTGGCAAAACCACTCGAGCAATTATCGTGCAATTTTAGAACCACGGCGAGCAATTCGAGGCCCCGTGTGCAACGCCGAATCACCAAACAAGGGTTTGGAGCAAATCTCTCCCTTGTGGGTCTTTCTGCCCAAGCCTTTACCGTATGGTGCTGCTGAGACAGCCACGTGTTGGACCATATATTTGTGCTGCTGACTTGTGTCCGCTAGTCTGAGGGCGTATCCCTGGGTGGTGGCAGGGCCACTGTAGATGGCAGAGTTGGTGGCATGCGGGAAAACCGCATGCCACCAACATTTTTACCGAGGCGCGCGCGACTCGTATTTGGTGGCATTGAAGTGACATTTTCGGGACATTGCCCAATCACGCACCTGTATTCGCGCGCCAAATTTCCTGACACCAACCTGGCGTTTTATGTGTTCGTGGCAGGCTGCCATCTACAGTGGCCCTGCCACCACCCAGGGATACGTCCTGAGTTCAGTTTCTTCCAACCAGTAAAGCCAACACTGCTTCCCTCTCTGATGTGCGCTCAAGTTATGGTCGTAACTGGTACAGCCTAGGTGCCAAAACCACTGAGGTTTACGCTAACCCGCGTTATCTGCCAGTCCGAAGACTGCACACGTGACACTGTCCAGTGTGTTTGTACGTGCCAAGCGGGGAAGATCGTCTTCACGGCGGTTGAAAGGGGTTGTGAAGCAGCCACGACTCCCTTAGTTTCGGGTGTAGCTGCGGAAAACCAGTTGCGTCGAACTGCAGGAACCGACCCGTCGTTGCCACTTTGACTCTGTCCGCGGTACGTTTCTTCTTTTTAGGAGACCACTCACGTCTTCTCAGGAAGTAGATTCTGCATGCCGTTAGGAACATGCCTAGGATGCCGTGCAGAATGTCAAAGCGATTGGAGTAGGATTGTTCGTGGATGTGCACCTGATGTGCGCTCAAGTCCTCGCAACGACTTCTCCTATTCCATGCGGCGCATCGATGCGTTACATCGCGCACGTAACTAACTCGCAGTAACCGAGTCGTGCGCAATGTTTCCTGTGAAGCGCTGGGACGGCCTTCACGAGGCGCTCCCCTCGTCGTACCTCCACTCCTCCACTCCGCCGCTCAAGCCTCCGCCCACCTTTCCGCTCACTCCCGCTTCCGCCCCGCCGTTTCCCGTGCTTAAAAGTTTTGAGAAGCCTTTCGGCGGCGAGAAGGCTGATCGGTTAACGGAGAGCATTGATCAGAGCAAAGTTGGGGGAAAGAGAATTGGAGGATCGAATGTCGTTGGCGGAGGCGTCGAAAGAGCTAAGAACGATACTTCTGCGGCGGAGATTGCGGGAGGAAGCGTTAGTGAAACGAAGAAGCAGAGGAGGAATAAGGGAAAGCGGGAGGTAGAGGAAAGGGGTGCGGAAGGTGCGAGTGCTCCGAATGCGACGGTAAAAGACTCGCACGGCGTCGCACGTGACGTGGCGGGAGAGCAGGCAGGGAATGCGCTAGGTGGCGAGGGCGGGGGTTCGGGGTTCGCACTAGATGCAGCACAAGGGCTTAGAGATGGCAGTGGAGAGGTGGCACAGGGAGCTCCAGTGGGTAGGGGGAAGGAGAAGAAGAGGAAACGGAGGCGGGAGGATGTTGGGAGTGCGAGCTGTGCTGCGGCTCAAAGCGGTGGGGAGAGGGAAGGTGAAGCAGGGGGCGGAGGAGGGTTTGAGCGAGGTTCAGGGTTTGGGGGTGTAGCGCATGCGGAGCAGGAAGACTCGGAACAGAGAGCGGGTTTGGGGGATGGCGAGGGAAAGGCGAAAAGGAAAAATGAGCGGAAGGGGAAGGGGGCTGGGCGAGGGAAGCAGGATGGGGCCATGGATGGGGCCACGGATGGTGGGGAAGACACGGTGGTGGTGGCAGCAAACGAGGCAGCGGAGGGCGATGGAGCGACGGAGAGGGGCGCAGAGGGCAACGGAGCAGGGGACGATGGTGACGATGGGGTTGTGGGCGCAGAGGCGGCGCTTCAGGCACCTTTTAAACCGCAAGCAGCAGCAAAAAAGGGAGGGGGGGGCGGAGGGGCAGGGGGAGGGGGAGGTGCGGTGCTGCCGTGGATGCGGGCGCCAGTGAAGTGCTCCACAGCTGATGCCGTTCCTCTAGCCTCGGTGCCGAACCTAGACAAGCGGTACGGTGGTCAGCTGTGAGGGCGGGGTTGGGAATTCGCCTGGTCGTCGTCCTTGCCATCTGCTGCTGCCGTCTCTCCTTCACTTCAACACTCGACCCCTGCTGCTTCCCGTCCCCTCTTCCCCTTTATTACTCTATCTCATTCCCTTCAGCAAAATCTCCGTTTCCTTCCCCCACATCCCCTCTTGCACGCCCCTCCGCCCCGCCCATCCCCGCCTGCCAGCCTCCTGTGCGCCCTCGCCCCGGCTGGCATTTCTTATCTCTTTCCCGTGCAAGCCACGGTGTGGCGCGAGCTCTTGGGGTTACCCGGTAACCACTCGCACTCCCACTGTCTTGAGGGTCAGGCACCCAGGAAGGCGAAGGATGGGGGTAAGGGGGGACGAAAAGGGGGAGGCGCGCAGGCGGAGTGGGAGGGCGGAGAAGAGCGGGAGGTGGCGGGGCTGCGGGCGGCGTCGCACGACTTATGTGTTTGTGCGCCGACGGGGAGTGGCAAGACACTGGCATATGCACTGCCAGTGGTGCAGGCTCTGGCAGGGCGCGTGGTGCGGCGAGTGCGGGCGGTGGTGGTGCTACCCACACGAGACCTGGCTGCTCAGGTGGGTGGCTGTGACTGTTGAGTTGACTTATAAAGCGCCACTGGTGCGGTGGTGCGGAGAGTGTTAGGCGAGTGCAGGTAGTGGTGGTGCTACCCACGCGAGACCTGGCTGCTCAGGTGGGTGTTATGGGCTGCTGTGCTGCCGCACACATACGCGGCACACGCAAGCTGCTGCCGTGCACTTGCACTCCCTTGCTCACAGACAAACCGACTCCCGGTTGTGCTCCCTTGACCAACTCTCACCCACTTCGCCTCCTCCCCTTCCCCACTTCTCCAGCCGAATTTCAGCCAGCAACTTTACTCTCCCACCGTTGCCCCCTAACTTTACTTGTCTTCCCCCCAACAAACCCTCCCCCAATCCCTCTCTCTACCTCCTCGCCCCCCACCTGCCATTCTGCCCACCCCTCCAGGTGAAGCACGTGTTCGACACCATAGCGCCAGCTGTCGGCCTCTCAGTGGCGCTCATCAACGGCCAATCATCGCTCGCTGACGAGGCGACCCACCTCGTGCAGCACCCCGCCGCCCGTTCCGGCCCCTTGGGCCTCCTCAGCCGCCCCAGCTACAGCCAGGGAAACAGCTACAGCAGTGGGGGCGGCTGTAGCGGGGCGGATATCGTGGTGGCAACGCCGGGGCGGCTGGTGGACCATCTGAGGGGCACTCACGGCTTCTCCCTCTCGCACCTGCAGTTCCTCGTGAGTCCGCTACAGCCGTTGCCTCTGCTACAGCTGTTGCCTCTGCTACAGCTGTTGCCTCTGCTACAGCTGTTGCCTCTGCTACAGCTGTTGCCTCTGCTACAGCTGTTGGCACTGAGGATTACCGAGGGGCACTCAGGGTTTCTCTCTCGCACATCTGCAGGTGCTGGTGAGGCTGCTACAACCGTTTTCTCTGCTACAGCTGTGGGGGTCACAGCGGCTGTAGCTGTAGCCTGTGACCTGTCAGATATTGTGGTTGCGACCCCTCATGTACCTCTCTCTACCCCTCATGTACCTCTCTCTACCCCTCATGTACCTCTCTCTACCCCTCATGTACCTCTCTCTACCCCTCTGCCCCCCCTGTGCAGCGACTTCACCTTCTCTCTGAGCTTCTCTCTCCCCTGGCCACCCTGCTCCCTCCCGTGTCCCCCCCATGCGCCCCCCGCCCCTATCAGGTGGTGGACGAGGTGGACCGTCTGCTCCGCCAGTCCTGCCACAACTGCCTGCCGCTCACCTCACCCTCGCCGCTGGCCCCCATGCTTCTCTCTGTTCCTCCGCCCCTCTGCCCCCGTGTGCACCCCTTGCCTTGCCCCCCATCCCCCCCGCGCCCCCCTGCTCCCCCCTTCCCCCATCAGGTGGTGGACGAGGCGGACCGGCTGCTGCGCCAGTCCTACCACGACTGGCTGCCTCTCACCCTCGCCGCCGCTGCTGCCTCCCCTTCCGCTGGCACCGCTGCCACGTCAGCAGTCGCCGGCATGCATGCTGACGTGGCAGTGAGCATGCCGAGTGTGGGCGGCGTCGTGCATGCTAGTGCCGGTGGCAGCATGAGCGGTGCTCTCCCCACTCCGTTCATTCACGGCCTGCGATCCCTGTGAGCCCTCAACACTCACCTGATGCTATGCGCTGCTATTATGCTATATGCCGCCACTATGTGCCGCTGCCTTGTGCTGGTGTCTCACCTGCACGGTTCCTCTCGCCCTCTCATGCTCGCCCCACTCCGTTCATCCACGGCCTGCGATCCCTGCAATCTCAACTGCTCCTGCCGTGTGCTCTTCCTTGCGTGCCCATCCCAAGTTCTTGCTCTTCACACTTCCTCTCTCGTCCGCCTCTCACATCCCCATAGTTCCCTCTCGCCTTTTGCCCCTCACAACAACCCCGTACCTCCATTGTTCCCCTCCTCCACACTCACTCACTCACCCCACTCATCCTCGCCTCTTCCCCGTGACTCTCCCCAAAACCGAGTGCCATCGAGTGATCAACCTCGTGTGTGCTGTACCATGCACACCCAGGTTCTTGCTCCACCAGTGCAAGAATCTGGTATCCACAGCCCCCCGGCGCCCCCTCGTTGCCTGGCATTGAGCGGCATCGGGTGATCAAGCTAGTGTGCCCTCCCAGACTCACCCGTCCATCGTCCTGCTCTTCTCTTCTCGTGCCCCTTCTCTCCTCCCTTCCTTCCTTCCTCGGCCTATCGCAGCGCCCCCTGCGCCCCCTCGCTGCTCTCCCTGCCTGACAGTGAGCACCATCGGGTCTTGAAGCTCGTTTGCTCTGCCACACTCACCACGCGCCTCCTGTGTCCCATCTCTCTCTCCCTCAACCCTCATTCTGCATGCCATAGCAGCGCCTCCTGCTCCCGCTCGCTGCTCTCCGTACCTGAAAGTGAGCGCCATCGGGTGATCAAGCTCATGTGCCTCTCCATACTCACTTGCGGCCCTTGGCCTCCTGTGACCCTTCCTTTCGTATCCACCCCGCACGCCATAGCAGTGCCACACGTGCCTCTTCTCTCCATTCTCTTCTCGTGCCTCTTCTCTCCTTCCCTCCTTGTGTCATCACAGCGCCCCCTGTGCCCCCGCGCTGCTATCTGTGCCTGACATTGAACGGCATCGAGTCATCAAGCTAGTGTGCTCTGCCACACTCACCCGCGATCCCTCCAAGATCCAACGGCTCAGATTGCACCGCCCGCTCTTCATCTCCTCCGCCGCCCACCTGCTCGCCTCCGCCATGCTCCGCCACGTGGCAGCTGGGGGCACACGCCACGCTGGCACCATTGCTGACGTGGAGGGTGGTGATGTGGGTGCTGAAGAGGAAGGGATGGAGGAGGGCAGGGAGGAGGAGGAGTTGGAGGAGGAGGAGGGGGTGAGACACTACCACTTGCCTCCACAGTTGGTTACTTCCATGCTGGTGAGTGGCGTGTGAGTGGTTTGTGTGTATGGTGCAAGTATGGTGTGCGGCAATGTGATTTGGATGGCTGGAATGGTTGGAGAGCGGTCAGGATTGCACTGGTGTCAGTGTTGCAGTCTGACTGGCACCCACACACACACACACACACACTCACACACACACACACACACACTCACACACACACACACACTCACACACACACACACACACACACACACACACACACACACACACTCACTTCCGCTGCTTGCTCATTCTCCTCTAACTTCTCCTTCCGTCAACCCTCCTCCCTCCTCGCCCTCTCCCCCATCAACCACACATCACTCACTCACGCGCTCCCCTGCCTCCTCTCCCTCCACAATTCCTCTCCCTCTCCCCCTGCCCAGGTGTGTCCGCGTGCGAGTGACAAGCCGCTGCTGCTGGCAGCTTTGCTCAAGAAGCTCACGGCAGGGGAGGAGGCGGGGGCTGGCGCAGGGGAGGGGGGGCAGGAAGGGAAGGGAGATGCTGCTGCCAGCACTGGTGCTGCTGCCAACACTGCGGCTGATGCTGCACGTCCCCGGCAGCTGACGCTGGTGTTTGCATCCTCCCTGCAGGCGGCCCACCGCCTCTTCCTGCTGCTCTCCGCCTTTCCCCCCGCCTCGCTGCCCTTCGCCTTTGCTGAGTTCTCCTCCCGCCAGCCACAGCGCCAGCGCAGGTGAGGAGGGGAGCAGGTGAGGAGGGGAGCAGGTGAGGAGGGGAAGCAGTGGTGGTTGCGCTGAAATTGACGTTGCATGCCTCCCTTTGCTTGCATGCCATGCCATGCCATGCCATGCCATGCCATGCCATGCCATCCATCCATCCATCCTCACCCCCTCAAACATGTTACCATTCTCGATCTATAGGCTCGACGTGCTGCGGCCTTGCCTCTGTCGAGTCATTTCGTTCCTATCACCATTATCATGACCCCTCGTGCCAACCCCCTGCCATCGTTTCCCTCCTGTCCCTGCGCCTCCAACCACCACAACCACAACCACGACCCTCGCATGACCAGTGCCATTCTGGATCGGTTTCGGAGGGGCGAGGTGCAGGTGCTGGTGGCCAGTGACGCCATGACACGTGGCATGGACGTGGAGGGCGTGTTCAACGTCGTCAGCTACGATGCACCCGTCTACCCGAAGACTTTTGTTCATCGGGCAGGCCGAACTGCCCGGGCGGGCAGGCCGGGGCACTGCTACACGATTCTGAGGAAGCAGGAGGTGCGCTGGATGCTTGTGTCTGTGGTGAATGTGACTGTAATGAGATGCTACTGCCATGCCCTATATTATACATATAGCCCAACCCCTGCCCAAATCACACACCATCCCCACCCGTCCCACCCCACTCCCCCATCCCACTGCTCTAAGGTGCAGTATTTCAGGGTGGTGCTGGGGAAGGTTGGTGGGGCTGTGTGGAGTGTAACGGGATGACCCATGCACGCCATGTGCCCCATACCATTACACCCCCCTCCCCCGGATTGAAATGACGTAACTCACTCCACCCATGCAATCCAATCCACCACTTCCTCCCATCCCCCCCCATCAGGTGCGGCACTTCAAGGCGGTGCTGGGGAAGGTGGGCTGCACAGACTGCCCGCAGGGCAAGGCGCCGTCCCACCTCATGGAGGGGCTCAGAGAGCACTACGATGCCGGTGAGTGCAGGGTGGTGCTGGTGAGTCCAGGAGGCATGCAATTGTACTGCTATGAGTGCATATGGGGTTGTATGTGTGCATGGGGGAGTGAATGTGTGCATGGGGGAGTGAATGTGTGCATGGGGGAGTGAATGTGTGCATGGGGGAGTGAATGTGTGCATGGGGGAGTGAATGTGTGCATGGGGGAGTGAATGTGTGCATGGGGGAGTGAATGTGTGCATGGGGGAGTGAATGTGTGCATGAGGGAGTGAATGTGTGCATGGGGGAGTGAATGTGTGCATGGGGGAGTGAATGTGTGCATGGGGGAGTGAATGTGTGCATGGGGGAGTGAATGTGTGCATGGGGGAGTGAATGTGTGCATGGAGGAGTGAATGTGCATGGGGGAGTGAATGTGTGCATGGGGGAGTGAATGTGTGCATGGGGGAGTGAATGTGTGCATGGGGGAGTGAATGTGTGCATGAGGGAGTGAATGTGTGCATGGGGGAGTGAATGTGCATGGGGGTGTGAATGTGCATGGGGGAGTGAATGTGCATGGGGGAGTGAATGTGCATGGGGAAGTGAATGTGCATGGGGGAGTGAATGTGCATGGGGAAGTGCACGTGTGCATGGGGGAGTGCATGTCTGCATGGGGGATTTCACATCTCTCATCTGTCCCTCCTCACACCTCTATCTTGCTCACTCCCCCCTCTCACATCTCTCCCTCTTACACCTCCTCCCTCTCATCTGTCCCCCTCCGTTCTCCTTGCGTGCAAGAGTGCCTCCCGACAGTGATGGCTGGTGGGGTGATGCGGTCGGCACCTCCATCGCTCCATCCTCATCCACTCTCTCACACCTCTCTCTCCTCACGCCTTCTTCCTGTTCCGCTTTCCCCCTCGCAAACCTCCTCGCCTGCAGCATTGGAGCGCCTCAAGGCAGTGGTGGGGGAGGAGGAGCGAAGAGGCAAGTGATGGCATTGATGCTCCTCGTTTGGACAGCTGTAGCACCTTCTGTCTCAATATATCTCATATCAGTGGCTTGATCACCTGCCTGCCACTTGCACTTGTTGAGTTTGTTGAAGTGGTTACCGTACCGTACATGGATTGTGAAGCCACTAACCAGAACCAACTAACTCCCACTAGCGTGACATGCAACCCCTGGGCAAATCTTAAAGCTCGTGGCCCAAATTGCGGGCCGCGCTGGGCAAGATTACTACCGTAATCTCGCTCAGCTGCTGTTTGGGTGCTGTGAGTTGGCGAATGTTGGGTTACAGTAGGTGCGAATAAATCTGATTACCGTATTCTCCGGACATAACACCCTAGGGTAGATCTAAAAATACAGGGAAAAAAAGGGGGGTGTCTTCTCATAGGAAAAAGCTACATAATACCCAGGTGCATTTAGATGGTATATTTTAGTGTTAGTTTTTTTTTATTAGAGAAGTTGAGTGTTACCATGGGCTTTTAAACATCACATGTTAAGGCGCGAATGCCAGTTTCGACGCGAACGTCATCAACCCCTCGAAAATGTCAGTTGGCACCCCCCTGGCCACATGTAGCGGAAGATTCGCCAGCACGTGGCGACAGCGAAATAGTGGACGGGGGGGAATCTCGGCAGATTTGATGTGAGAGAACCGAGAAATTTCATCGAGCGAGGAATTTTCGCGATATACTTCCATATTTGCACCTACTCGTTAACAGCTATAATATAGAATCAGTACGGAAAGGGGGGTGTTATAAAAAATCATCCAAAAAGGGGGGTATAGTGAAATCGAGGTCGCCCATAGCACCCACCCCGCACAAGCTACCCGGGGGTGCTCTATCATGGGGGGGGTGTTTTGTCCGGGAGAATACGGTAATCGAGGCCAAACTCACTGCGCAAACTTCAAGTTTCATTATTTCTCAATTTGGGAGTCCCGGACCTCGATAGAATGTTGGCCCTGGGTTTGCCAACTCAGCGAGTGTTGCGAGAACTTGTGCGAAATAAGTCAACCCCACTTTCTCGACTTTGTGTTCACCTCCCAAACCACCAGCCCTAACCCTTGCGCAAGATTACTAATATTGCGCAATTTGGGCCTTGAGCTTAAATATTATATGAAGCAAAGCCCTAAGTGCTCTAGGTCGTTTTACTTTCATATTGAAGGCCACTGATAGCAAGCGATTAAGTAACAAATCACTGTATCCAGCTACAAATGTAGCCTTATTTTAGCCAGCTTCAAATTCATAGATGCAGTGGAATAATGGTACCGAACAAATAATCAAGACATTGGGTGAGAGGCAATAAGTCTGGGCCTGTAAGCGGTCACAACTTGGAAGGAGTGATTGTGGGCAGACCTGGGAGACGCCAAGCAGCAAACACACGCCTAGCTGCATGGCGTTGACGATGCTGGGGCACACCTTGGGGGGTGGGCTGGTGGGGTCGAGGAAGGGCAGCACGTCGTTGGGGTTGTGCCACACGGGGTAGCCCTGTAGCTTCGCCTGGAGGGGAGCGTAGAGGGGAGGGAGGAGAAGGGGGGTGTTGGACGAGCAAGATGGGCACACCATTGGTGTTGTGCCACACATGGTGCCTCTGTAGCTTCCCCTGGGGGAGCACAGAAATTGTGTGGGTGGGGGAGCAGTATTGAGGGAGGGAAGAAAGGAAGGAGGCATCAAGGCAGCGTTGCTGGGTCGGGTTGTGCCACACGGGAGATCCCTGCAGCTTTGGATAGAAGTACATAGTGAGTCGGGGGGGAGGAGTGATAGGTGTGGGTGAGGGGGGAGGGTAACGAAGGCATTGGAGCCAATCAAGACAGCTGTGTGATGGATGGGATGGGGGGGGGTAGACACCTGGTTGTTGAAGCAGAAAGTGGCTTCGGGATGAAAAACTGGACAGAGAAACTCACGGCGACGTTGAGAGCAGCGAGGCAGCCATGCCGGCGCGCGTCCACTGCAAGGCGGAGGCGATGTGCGGCACGACCACCATGTTGGGCAGCTTGGAGAGGCCCGGCTTCATCAGTGGCTCGTCCTGATGCGATGAGAGGAAGGGGGAGAGGAAGGCAGAGAGGAAGGGGGCCGAGAGAGGGGATGTGTGATGGAGGGTTGAGAGGGGTGAGTTGCAGCACTACCACCACGTTGGGGAGCGTAGAGAGAACAGGTTTCATCAGTACCTCGTCCTGATGCTGGGAGAGGAAGGGGGCAGAGAGAGGGGATGGGTAGTGGAGGGTCGAGACGGGTGGGTTGCGGCATAATGACCACATTAAGGAGTGTGTAGAGGTACTGCTTCATCAGCGTCTCTTCCTGATGCCGGGAGGCATAGAGAAGGGTGGGATCAGTGTTGGAACATATAATCGGGTGAGATTCCACGTATGGGCCTAAGGGGATGCATTGCCTGGCTCCATCAGGAAGGGTGTGAGGGGAGGGGCGAGGGGAGATAGGCATCGGGTGGAGGGCGGGTGGCGCTACGCATTGGGTGGAGGGCGGGCGGCACTACGCATCGGGTGGGTGAGGGGCGAATGCCCAGAATAGGATATCAGCTGCTCCGTTGAACAGCTGGCGAACTGATCTCGATCACAAGAGAAGTGATGGATCGCTGCACACACGCACCTCGACGCCGAGAGCAGCTCTGAAGGCGGGGTTGGCCTTGAGGTGCCTCACCAGTGCCACCTCGTCCACCACCGGACCCCTGCTGCAATTCACCAGTATGGCGTCCTTTAAGAGGGGAGAGAGGTATAGGGGGAAATGAGAGAGGCGGTGAAACGGGTCTGAGGGAAAGGTGTGGGGGGGAAGAAGGGGGGTTGGTACAATAAGATTCAGTGGGACGGGATTTAATCAGGACGATATGGGACTGCTTAGGGATCAGCAAGGAAAGGGTTTCAGGGAAGATACTAAGTGTGTGTTATGTAAGTTAGCATGGAAAGCACATACGAGAGTTGATTGCATGGCAGTGTACCTTCTTCATCATATTGAGCCGTCTCTCATCCAGCAGGTGGAAGGTGGTCTTATCGAGTACAGGGTGTAGAGATACCTGGAGGGTCAGATAGACGAAGAATAGTAGGTTGGGATGGGCTGGTTCAGATTAGAATCCTGTATGCATGCAACATTCTTCTGCGCCTACATGCTAGTCAAGTCATCCGAGCCAATGCTCTTGTCCATCCACAACAGCGATAGGTTGCACCATCACACATTGTACACACGTCAGCAGCTTACCACGTCAGCAGCCTACAGCACCTCCTCGGGACTGGATGCCCTGCGCCATGTCACGGGCTGCTCGCCCTGTGATTGGAGGAAGTGGGAATAGGCTGGCAGAAGATGGAAAAAGCGTGGGGCGAGGGAGAAAGGGGAGTGTGGATAGGATGTGGCTGTGTGTGAGGGGTGAGTAAGAGTGGGTATGGTGTTTTGAGGCCCAATGGGAAAAGTGTGTTGCAGTGACACTCCCCTCCCCTCCTCTCGCACGCTCACCCTGCTTTCTCTCCGCACCAGCAACACTCTTGTGCAAGCGATTGAACTAGAACAGGTCGAAATAAAGGATGTGCATCTTGAAGCCCTCAGCCTCCCTTTCCCTCAGCTTTCACTCACCACTCCTCACTCTCCACTCGCCTCTCACTCGCCCCGCGCCTCCCACACACATCCCCCCCTCACCAGAAACACTCTCTTCTAGCCGCTTGGACTAGTACAGGTCGCAGTAGATGAGGTTCATTTTGAAGCCCTCCACCTGCCAGGGAGGGTGGGACAAGGGGGGGGGGAAGGAGGCGAGAGGGAAGTAGGAGGGTTGTTTACCAAAGAGAAACATACATACAGTTTTTATCATGAATTTAATTTCTTGTCAATAGGGAGGGAATTTTGGGGGAACGCAAAAGGGTTTTTGCCTTTTTTTGTCAAGCCCATCCACCTGGGGGCCATTTAGACTGAAGCTCATGGTGAGTGCTGCTGGATATGCAGCAACGGTGAGTTGAGGGCCACAGGAGCCAAGGGTGCTCTCCCATGCGCTGCTGCCCTACAAGTCAAAGCACAACCGCATCTCACGCCCCCCCTATCGCCGAGTCATCTGCTGCTACCTTCCACCATCCACATCCCATCAACCCATCCCTCCATCCATCACCCTATTCCCTCATTCCCCCATTGACTCATCGCCCATTCCTCCCCCCCCCCCCCCCCCCCCGTCGCACCATCATGCGTGCATAGGCGCTGCCAATGCGCCCCGTGCCGATGCCGCCCCTTGAGCAGATTGCTGATGAACCTGCCGTGGGGGGTGTGGGGAGTGGGGGAGGGGAGAGGGGAAAGAGGGGGGAGAAGGGGGTGGGAAGGGGGGATAAGAACCAGACATTGCGCTGAATTGCCGATGATGCCCACCGTCTGCCCCTTGGCAGATTGCCTATGAATCGTCACCGGGGAGAGTGGGGAAAAGGGGGGAGAGAGGGGTGGGTTGGGGTGGGGGGGGGGGGGGGGGGGGGAATGGGGGGAGTAGGGAGGCGGGAGAGAGGGGAGTGGGAAAAGGAGGGGGGAGAGAGGGGGGTGGAAGGGAGGGGGGATAAGGGTCAGGCAATGCGCTGTGTGGCCACCTGAACAGGTTGTAGATGAACGTGAGAAAGAGGTAGGTAGGAGGAGGGACAGTGTGGAGCAATGACGCCCACACGGCATGCCGCAGCAGCACAGTGCAGTGCAGCGATCTTCTTCCGCCACTCACATACTGGGCAGTTAACACCCCAAGCACCCCATCCCTACTGCCAACCCCGCCATGCTCCTCCCCCCCCATCTGGGACTCACATGGTGGGCAGCCACCCGTCGTATTTCCCTGCGCGCATGAAGTAATCTGCCTCCACCACGCATCGCGCTGCCGCCAGCGTCAGCGAAGCCGCCAGCTCCGCAGTTGTCTCAGTGAGCATGCCCTAAGGGGGAGGAGGGAGAGGGGGAGGGTGAGGAGGAGGGGGAGGGAAGGAAGGGGAGGGGTGGATACGGAGGGTGGGAATGCGCTGAGGCTAGGCTCCGTTTTCCTCGCCTCGCCAGGCAAGCTCTCGTGTATGGCCACCTCTCCTGCAATGCAAGGAGAAAGCACAATGTGAATCCTTCCTCACTGCCTCCCATCCAGATCCCTCTTTCTTTTGCGTCTCCCTTGCCCCTCCCATGCCCTTCCTTTGCTAGTCCCTTTCCCTCCCCTTGTTGTGATGCTGCTGCGGCTCATCACCGACTGGTGCCGCCAGGGAAATTGTCAGGCGAGCACAGACGGACCACTCACGGGCGTGTTGCCGACACTGATGCTGTGCTTCGTAGCAGCGTCCACGTCAATGTTGTTGTACCCCACCGCCATGTTGTTGTACGCCCGCCCACCCGCGCGTGCCAGCGCTACGAACAGCCGCTCGCCCCACTCCTCCGTCAGCTGGAGGGACACACGAGTGGGCGAGGGGGTAGCGGGGAGGAGAGAAGGGGGAACAGGAGCTTGGTTTGGGGCGTTGGGCATGTTAAAGGGGGGGATGGGAGGGGGAGGACGAACGGACTAGACCAAAGAAAGAAGCTGCTACAGTTGGCACCTTGTCGCTGTATGCAGGGAATCTACTCGCTATAGGCACCAGCTCTCTATATGCACCTGCTCGCTATGAGAACCTGCTCGCTGGATGCACCTGCTCACTATAAGCACCTGCTTGCTGCACGCACCTGGCCGATGACGCCGTCGCATCTGCCGCCGATGAGCTGCAGGATGTCGTTGTCACAAAACTGTTCAGTTGTGACTCTGAGGAAGGTGTGAGCTTTATGAGTCTGGGGGTGATTCATGCACACGCTGATTGGTGGGATGTGTGCCGATACATCCGACATGGCGAAACTTGTGTCAGCATGCTTTGAGGATGACGTCGGAAGGTTTGAAACACTTTTTATTTCGTGAACAATATACAGCTCCTACTGTACCAGGGTGTAACGAATGACCATTCCTTTATTACGCAACATCACGTACAACGCCAATGCTTCGCCTCATGCTTGGCATAGTTCAACGTTTTCTCCTTGTACTTCCATTATCGTTGTTGGAGTAAGAAGGGAATTACTTAGCATTCCCCAAGGTGCAGCAATATCGCACCTGCTACTGTCGAAACAGTACCTATACCACTAGCGCGTTAGCCCATATAGGGCCACCAGGTCACCAGTCGCAAGTCAACTGTCGTGAATGTTGACCGACCTGGACCGAACGGTTGCCTGCGAGGAATTGCAACAGGCGTAACTGTCTCTACCATTATTTGGTAACCGAAGGATCTCTAGTACTGTAGCGATGTTTTACAGTTGATAAAGAAATGTACCCCTTATAGTACATGGCTAGCTAGAATCTAGATATTGCTTGTAAATGTTTTATTTTAAACAATCTTGTCATTTACATTCACTATGCAACAAGGTTCCTACAACTGGAAGACTTCCGCTATACACTCAGGCAAATCTATCCTTTCCAAAGGATCCTTATTCTAACATGGTACGAGAGCAAGTTTGGAATATTGGACTTGCTAAGAACACGAGATGTAAAACGATCCATTGGTATAAGCATCTCACATCATGCCAGGCGCATACTGCGGCGAAACTGGAGAGAATTCAGTCAATCCTTCCACAAACGTCGCCTCTGGGATGACATCTGTGGACCCAACACTCATTGAGCAACTCATCACCCGCATCAGCGCACTGGAGAACCATCATCTGCCCATGAGCGTTGATGGCTCCAGCTATGCCAGAAGACCTCCCGATCCACAGGACCTACCGTACTCTGAGCGATCGTTCACCTTCAAAAATCGAGGAGCACAAGTACCTACGCAAGCACAACAAGCACACTACGCGGCAATGGCATCAATCCAGAGCAAGTTCCTCTCGACATCGAAACTTAGAACAATAACGCTCTTCGACGGGAAGGGAATCTACACCTGGAGCTTCGAGTTCGAGCTCCTGGCTCCAAAGTGCACAGATTTGGATGTATTACGACGAATCTCTGCCAATTCCAAACGATGGCTCACCTCGGGAGAAAATACGGTACTACAATGAGTCACTGCTCGTCAACACCGTTCTAATCCGCAACCTGTCGCCCTCGAAACAGCTCGGCATCTCTTCGTTCATGAACCAGTGGGCGCCCGTGCAACAATCATGGAAGCACCTGCACATATGCTACATGGCAACCGACTCAGTAACGCTCAGCCGTTTATTGAACCAGCTTAACAACGTCAGGATGTTCCTTCGAGAGAAAGCAGGGCATACATCAAACATTGTAGAAACTTGAGGGGTCAATTCAAGAAAAATGGCGGAAACTTCCCTGACAATATGTTCGTCACCATCATCCTCGCTGGACTGAGCCCAGATTAGCGCCACTGCAAGTCGCTCCTTTGCACCCAAGGCACGATCAACGAATCTTCCTCTTCGCCTCGCTCCTCGCCAAACAGCAGGAGATCGATCTGTATAATGAGAGAGGCAACAAGAAGAAGAAGATTGCCTTTTACTCAACTAGCACGGAAGCACCCTCGGCCAAAAGGAAGCTGTTATGCAAATACTGTAATAAGATAGGACACACTATCAAGGAATTGCGGAGAGTCACTGCTGTTGTCGACGGGCTACTCCCGAGCGAGATGGAGGTCGACGGGCTGCACCCCACACGGCAGTACTCCACGAAGAAAACTCGTCCTCGGCGTGCACCCCACACACAGCACGCCGTCACCGCACCAGACGTGCAGAAGGGCACGGCACCTACTGCTGCACCTCATTATCGCCGTCGCCGACGTCGGCCATGTCAACGGGAGTGTTGTAAGGCCCCGTCCTCGCTTGGGCGGAGCCAACCTTGTGGTCGGATGTGCGGGGGTTGCAGCCGACCTGCAGCAGTGGGCACGGGGGCCACTGCAAGGGCGCCAAGTTGGAGGGCGCCTGGCTGGAGGGCGCCGAGCAGGAGGACGCCGCCCTGGACGCCTGGTTGGCGTCCCAGACGACTGGACGGCGTCCTGGGAAGCTAGACGCCGAGCTGGGCGTCGCCACGACTACCCGGGCGCGTGGTCGACGTCGTGGGCGCCTGCACGGCGTTCTGGAAGGCCAGACGCCGACCTAGGCGTCTGCACGGCGTCCTGGGGGTCCGGACGCCGACCTGGGCGTCCCGGGGGGCCCAGACACCGACCTGGGCGTCTGGTCGGCGTCCTGGGAGGAGGGACGCCGCTCTGGAGGTTTGCTCGGCGTCCTGGGCGTCTGGACGCCGACCTGGGGGTTCGGAAGGCGTCCTGGGCGCCTGGACGCCGGACTAGGGACGCCGGGCATGCGTGGCCGGCTACGGACTGTGCTGGTCGGCCAGGCGTGGTTGCCCGGTCGACCGGAATACCCGGGCGACGTGTGCGAGTGTCGCCAGGGTGGAGTCTGCGAGGCCGACCTCGGGGGTGGTATCCCGAGGTCGACATGGCTGGTGGGCGCAGTCGCTGGCGTGGAGTCTGCCAGGCGTCTGCGCTGTGCTCGTGACAAGGTGTGGAGCGCCAACCAGCTGCGCGCACCTGCGAAGCAGGTGCACCGTTGTCCTGCGGGTGCAACGCTGTGCAGCCGACTTGCTGCAGCGCTGGCACACCGTGGACTTGCAACGTTGGCGAACCGCTACTCTGCAACGCTGGAGCGGTGCGAGCGCTGCTGCGCTGGAGCGCGGTCGACCGTGCTGCGCTGGAGGTCGACCAACAGCCTAGCTAGCACTGATGTAGTCTGTGATGCCAATGTTGTTACTACCATTATTGTCATGTTTTCCTAGTGAAACTCTTGCCAATTCTCCCCGTGAACTAGCAAGCAGCGTGAACACAAGGAAACGACTAAGTGAACGAACGCAGAGATCACACGAGCACACGTGCCTAGCCCGTAGCCTAGCTCCCGTTGCAGCAGTTATCTCCGAAGGCCAGACAAACTTGGCCGATGGCGATAGAGCACCGGTTGAAAGCCGGAAAATGCAGCGCCTTTGTTAGGAAGTCTGGCGGCTACTCGGTGGTCGGGCTGTACTTCAGCATGAACTTCCCGCGCCTCACCACGTGCTGCAGCCAGGCATAGCGTCGCTCCATGTGCTTGAGGTTGCGTGTCAGCCCCAAGCCCTCAGCGACCGTGATTGCCGACTTTTTGTCGACGCGGAGGATGGTCGGCTTCTCAGCGTTGAGCAGCTTGAATTCCGCAAGAAGGAAACGTAGTCGGCGTCCCTCCTTGTCTGCATCTGTGGCCGCCACGTACTCTGACTCGGTCGAGGAGAGCATCGCGCACTTGATGCGCGAGCTCGACCAGGAGACGGCGGCCCCTCCGTAGACGAACACGTAGACTCTCGTGCTCGTCCGGTTCTGTTTGTCGCCCATGTCGTCGGCATCCACGTAGCCGATCAGCTCCAGCGACTCTGGTCCACCGCCGAACTCCAGGGCGGTGTCACGGGTGTCAGCTAGGTAGGCGAGGCAGCGGTCGACCTCACGCTAATGCTGGTCGCTCCTCACCGTGAAACCGCTCCCCAACTTGCTGCAGGCGAATGCGATGCCCGGCCTCGTCATCGTTGCCGCGAACTGCAGCGAGCCGACCTTCTGTCGGTACTCCTCCTCGTCGCGCTCGTGGGCCTCCTCGTCGTCAAACGTCAGCTGAGCGTAGGCGTCGACCGAGACTGGCGTCTTTGGAACTTGACCGCCCTGCTCTTCCTCGATGAAGCGCCTGCGCAGCTTGTCGGCGTAGCCCTGCTGGTGCAGCCACAGCTTCCTGGCCGGCCTGTCGCGCACGATCTCCAGCCCAAGGTACTTCACCACCGGCGAGATCTCACGCAGCTTAAAGGCGGCCTCCAGCAGCCCCTTCAGGTCCTTCAGCATCGCGGTGCTGCTGCTGACGGCGAGCAGGTCGTCGACATAGACCAGCACCCAGCAGGTCACTCCGTCGTTGCCGGCTTTGAAGTAGAGCGCCTCATCGACCTGGCTCTTCTTCCAGCCAGCGCCCAGCAGCATACTGTCGAGAGCCCTTTACCACAGCATCGGCGACTGCTTCAGCCCGTAGAGGCTCTTTAGCAGCTTACACACCCGGCCGCTCCCATCGTCAAAGTAGTCCGGCTGGTACATGTAGAGCACCCTGTCGAGCTTGCTCTGCAAGATAGCGTTCTTCATGTCGAGCTGCATCAGGTTGAGGTCGAAGACGGCGACGATGCTGAGGAAGATCCTTAGCGTGACGTAGCTGCTCACCGGCGAGTACGTCTCGTCGTAGTCGGCGCCGTACACCTGCGTGAAGCCCTTCACGACCAGCCTCGCCTTCTCGCGCTCGACGGTGTCGCCGATGCGGTACTTGGTCGTCAACACCCACCGGTTCTTCATGATGTTCACCCCGCGTGGGCGTTCGACCAGCTCCCAAGTTCCCATGCCGATGAGGCTGCAAATCTCTTCTTCCATGGCGGCCTTCAACGCATCGCCCTTCCAGCTCGACAGCGCCTCCTTCACCGTCATTGTGGCGATGTCTCAACGGTGTTCGGGGTCGGCA